CTCTGAACAGACATGACAGGTATACAATTGAAAATAGACCCATCAGAAATAGTTATTAATGCAGTCATATGTATTGATAGACGACCATCACATCTGTGTCTTAGATTTATAATTTTAGCAAAAGAGGGATGTCTTGGTCAGTTTTCTAGAAAACAGAGCCTGAGACAAAAGCTGTATTGGGTTTGTCACTCCAGAGTCCATATACATAAATGGTGGGATCTGAAATTGAAACCATGATTGTCTCATCCCAAACCTATTATGCATTTTTGATATCAGAGATCCAAACTCATGCATGAGGGAAAGACCTTTTACCAGCTAAATGATCCACCAAAATATTAAAACCAAAATTTATCCCTGGATAAGACTACTAGTTCTCAACTAATCTTGCTGTGTCACAAATTTTAGCCTCTTTCTCTCCTGAAGCATTCAAGATAAAGAGTAAGTAGTGTACAGGAACAACACATGTATACCCTCAGGAAGTCCCCAGGCGGGTCTGAGCAACCATGGCCACACTTCTCAGATGAAATGAATATCGTTAACAGTCTTACTGTCATCTATTTTTCATGGAGAAAGTGCTACAAGGTTATGTTTCCTTTTTTAGTGGACAAAAAGAAAGAGGTTGCAAAATCCCCGAAAATCGCCTCTTGGTTTTGAAAATCTGTTCTCTTATGCTAAAATACTTCTCAGAAGCATAAAGAATAAAGTATGTTCTTGGAATGTCCATTTCTCTGAGGAAAATAAAAATATCCTCATTTGTGTCCTAAATGAGATGAGAGTTTTGATGGGATTTCACTCTGGTTCACAAATTTCTCCTCTTAGAAAGCAATACAAGAATTCAAAACAAGTTTGTCTTTGAAATATTTGCTTAGCCACAAGGGTGGTTGGTTACTGACCAGAACACCACTCCTGATGATGAGCATTTCCTCTTTGGTCTACTCTCAAAGCCAATGTGAACTGTGTTTATTCTGGCCTGGGATCTTCGGATAATGGAGAACTTCCATCTCTAGATGAAAGTGAGGATCTTGGTGATGATATTCCTGGGCATTGCCAGGCACCACATTTGGGAAGGCAATAAAAAGACAACAGAATCATTTGACCAAGCTGTGTCTCTGACATTTTGATCCCCTTCCAATAAAAGGTGATCAGGAGGCCAGATGTGGTGTCTCACCCCTGTGATGCTAGCACTCTGGGAGGCTGAGATGGGAGGATTGCTTGAGGTCAGGAGTTTGAGACCAGACTGAGCAAGAACAAGACCTAGTATCTACAAAAAATAAAAAATTAGCTGGGTTTGGTGGTGCACACCTGTGAGGCAGGAGCATTACCTGAGCCCAGGACTTTGAGGTTGCAGTGAGCTATGATGATGCCACTGCACTCTAGCCTGGGCAACAGAATAAGACCCTGACTCAAAAAAAAAAACTTAATCAGGTCAAATGTCTTCTCATTCCTAAGCAGAGATATCCTTAACTTCACCAAGCCTACAGGGAGTCTGGGGACCTCAGTCTTTAGTCTGGCATTATGAGTGACTTTCTATGTGTTCTTATACAAGCCGTTTTAATTTCTCTGACTTGCTTTCCTTACATGTAAAATGAGGTTAGAACCAAGTTTTTCAAATGGAATAGTTTCTAATGATTATTATTTTATGATGATGTATGTAAAAAGGGAAGTAACAACTGTTGAGTGTGACCTTCGACAAGTGACTTCACCAGTGGGGCCCCAGTTCCTCATCCATCAATCGATAGAAGAGGGCCAGGTATTCTCTTTCACTGCGTGCCTGGCATTGGGCTATGAATTTTTACCTGCAGTATTTCACTTAATCCTCCCTGAATCTTTCAAGGTAACTAATATTTTATCATCATAGTTTAAAAATGAGAAAATGGAGGTCTAGAGAGGTAGATTAACCTGCTTAAGGTTATACTGTTACCAAGTAGTGGAAGCTGGGATTTGAACCTAGAGCAATCGGATTATGGAACTGGATATATTATGCAACAGCAGTTCTCAAAGTGTGAGTGACTGAGGACTCTGAGTCCCTTTCGGGGAATCCATGAGATCAAAGGTATCTTGATAATTAAACTGAGATATTCTTTGCTTTTCCACTCTCCTTCTCTCACGAGCATATGAGATCTCCAAAGACTACACGACCTATGTTATTGCAACAGATTGAATGTAGAAGTTGATATGGGAATATAGACATCTTCCATTAGGCCTGACATTAAAGACATTGCAAAAGTGTAAGCCACTCTTCTTATCCACTTTTCTTTTGGCTTGAGAAATACAAAG